TATATATATTTAAAAAAAAAGAGTAATAATCAGCGATTGTGATGTGCATTTTTTGCTTTTGGCCAAGTTTGTAAAACTGTGCTCTTAAGTCAGTGGAAACATGGGCCGATTCTTCGAGGGGTTTGCACTTTGCAGATCCTCGGCCAAATACCAGTCACAATTCTATGGATATCAGAGAGCACGGACAACACGGGAAACTCTTTTTATAAGAACTTTTCTGCCAAATACACATGAAACACAAATCTAAGTCATTGACAACCAGAGTTCCTGCCATTTATCACATGCATCTTCTGTCAGGCCCGAAACAAGTCCACAGCCTGACTTAATAGTCTGAGTAAATGCTCCGTGCCAAAAAGAGCACTTTATTAGGGTGGGAATGTTTGCTTTTAGATTATCTGACATAGCGTTCCTGGCTTGATATAAGTACAAGTAGGAGAAAAATGGACTAAGGCTAGAATGGACTAACAGTCTGAAAAAAACCCACAACTTAAAAATAAAAATACAAAAAATAAAACATAGTTATACTGAAAGCCTTCCATGAAGGCACAGTGCCCATGGTCTAAGCATTGTAACTTCACTGTACAGATGTTAACAACATCTAAAATCCTTGGAACAACCCACCCTTACAAAACATGCAAATTATGTAAAAGAAAAAAACTGATTCTTTTGGCTAGCTCTCACTGGTTGCAAAAGCAGCTCAAGTCATAATAAGCAGTCATTTACAAGACACTTTCAAAGCGACACCGGCATAATTGTGCTGGCTTCTAAAATACATTCTTTTGCCAAATTTTATGGCAAAAAGCCTTTGCAGAGAAAATCCCAGAATGCAATGAGACAAGCTTGCTGAGAAAATTAAACCAGGATGGTGAAAGAGTTGATTATAAATTAACTTGTATTGCATTCAGTGCTGAAAAGCATTGATAGAAATGAACTTTAAATATGTTTTAGCTTAGCAAAACAGTAGTAGCTACAAAGAAAACCATATAAATGAACAATATTTCTTGTTTTAGTCCAGAGGTGTCCAAACCTGCTCCTGGAGGGCCACTGTCCTACGGAGTTTAGCTCCAACCCTAATTAAACACACCTGAACCAGCTAATCAAGAACTTCTGACTCAATAGTGTGCTGGAGTTTGTCCGACAGTCAAGACTGAAAACCTCAAAAACAGCACCTACTCACCAATTCCCAAGCCTGCGCAAGTGCCCGTGTCCCAGTCTGTGCCCAGGATGCTCCAGCCCGCCGGCAGAGGCAGATGTCTAAGAGCAAGAGCCAGAGTATCATCCAACCTCTCACACTCCTTCAGGGGGATCTGACACTCGTCCAGAAGTAACGCTCCCTCGTTCTTCCCAACAACGTTCACTAGTAACTGGGCCATGTCCAGGGCGAGGTCCTGCACGAACTGGAAGCGTTCCTCAGCCACAGGGTCCACTGAGCCCCCGGGCCGGGCCTGGCACAGCGTGACCCGCACGGTTTCACTGCGATCATGAGCTGTTATGAGACAAAAAAATAAACATTGGACAGAAATATATTATATTGTGTCATGCTTTTGTGATGCTGATGTCCACAAGATTTCCACAACTTTGTCAACAATAAATCAATTATGACTAAACAAACTAGCTATTTATCTCATATCAAACAGGGAGTTCTCCTTTAAATCATCTTCACACTGATAAAAAAAAAAAAAAACAACAACGAAAAAAAGGATCTTGCTTAATATTTTGGCAGCCACACATCAACAGACAAAAATGAGACTTTAGTGCCTATGGTTGAGCGGAGATGGATATCATTACTGAGAAATGTTCCTGCATTAACACAACTCATTTCCATTTCCAAGAGGGAAACAGCCGGAGACAGAGGTGACACACTATAAAACAACATTCATAAACAATTAGAACTTCACCATGAGGGCTGCCAGGAGGACTGTCTTGTATCACTAAAGTTATGAGATGTCATTGCGACAACACGCATCGTGAGGGTTGGTGTGCGAGCGCCTTTTCTGTCGATGCAGAAAAAAACCCAATGTGTAAGTCCACACTCACCAGCAGCACATTTGCTTGACCAAAACATCTCAGTGGGACATCCGTCTGGGTTCAAAGCATTTGAGCCATTTTTGCCGATAAAGACCTCTTAGCAGACAAACATTTGGATTCAACCAAAAGTATGGACCTCCAGCAGAGAGACAAAGGGTTGAAAGTGTACCCTGGCGGGCTGACAGCGGTGCACCTGAGGCGGACGATAGTAGGGCCATTCTTCATGCTCTCTTAATGCATTGCTGAAAAGCTTTCAAGTGCTCAGTCGGAGTAGTGATTACAAAACCGGTGCCAAACGTCTGCACTGGATTCCATAACACTGTATCTACTGTGACCCTCTGTGGAAGTGCTACGAGGATACGGTTGAAATTTATTCCTTTTTTGACTCTAAACACCGCCTTAATTGCAGATGGGGGGCTGTTGCGTTTTAGTTTTTATTTCTTTGTGAAACCAGATAAGATCACAATGCTACCAGTTCCCCCGCAAAGCAAAAATGCCTCAATAACATCAGTGGTTACAAGATAAATCTTTAGTTAATTACAGTAATGCATTGTGCCTGTTAATGGATGGTTGCCCAGGGTGTTTTGAGTGGTTGATATGTTGTTGTAGTTGGTTGCTAGGGCATCGCTAAGGCTGGTAGGATGTTTTAGGGTGTTGCTAGGTAAATGCTTACTAGTGCTTACATATTGTTCAGGTCCCTACTTTCTCTTTTTGAAAGTTAAAAATAAAAAATAAAATATACATACAAATAAACAAACAAACATAAATAAAACAATCACACAAACAAATGAAAAACAAATACAAAAAGACAAAAAATAAAACGGAAAACGGAAAAAGAAACCATCCCCTACTATCCCTCGGAAAAATAAAAAATAAAACATGAAACAAAGTATAAAAACTAACTAAAACATCAAACTAACTAAATAAATAAAGAAATAATATGAAACACAAACAAAAGGACAGAATAAAAACAGAAAATATACTCAATCCAATTACTCCAGTTCTGTTTAGCAAGTAATTAAAAAAATAAATAAATGAATAAGGTCAAACAAAAGTGTATATATATAAACAAACATAAATAAAAGAAACAAGGGACTAAATTAATTAATTAAATAAAAAGGACAAACAAAAACATATATAAATAACTATAAAAACATAAATAAAATAAACAAAGGATTAAATAAATATTATGAAGGACAAACAGAAACAGAAAAACAAACCCTCCCTCATTACCCAGAACAAGTCTAGTTTTGCACCAATAAAAAAAAAATGTGTATATGTTTGTAGACTCTGGTTATATTTTCTTCCACCTCTTTGGACATATTACTACATTAAGCAAGAATGTGTCTGTTCATTAATAGCTACTACTTGTGCATGAATCTTTAGAAGCAGCACTGGGACATCTGAATCAGCTCAAGCATGTGCTCAGCGCAGTAATACAGAGGTTGCCCTGTGGTAACTGGGACAATTTTGTGGGTGAATAATTGAGCAAAGCGACAACGTGCCAAGCAATGCCTGGACCAGTTTCGGCATGACTGGAATGTAAATGAGTCGATCTCTGCAGGTAATGAGCATCTACTTCCAGGAAGAAGCTAACAATTATCAAGCAATGATAAAATACTGTACATGGACACGGACGTGGAATGTGTTGTGTGACCGCTGGTGTTTTAAATACTGACCTGGGCACACAGCTTGCAGCGTGACATGGCTGACTTTCAAAGTGCTGGAAATGTGCCTCTGGGTGGTGCCGGCAAATAGTAGGTAAAACTCTACATCCTCCTCATCCTCGACACACTCTTCCTCACAGAGCTGGACAGTCAACAGACACTCGCCCTGAACAATAGAGAGAAAATAGATTATATACAACTTTTAAAGAATTATTGTTTAAATATTTCAAGAAATCTACCCCTATCTGTCACTGTTAGGCTGAAAAAGAATCCAATTGCATTTTAAATTACAGTGGAAGTGCGACAATCAAGGACTGAGAAGTCCTTCTCATGTTCTCTCAAAAGACTAATAGCAGTACTGAAAAAGCGTTTAATCGCCTGTGGGTGCAGAAAATTACACAACGCAATGCATCAACTCCTATAAATCATCATTACTGGATCCACAAACAACAGGGAGGCATCAACACATGTCCATTTAGAGAGACGCATTTCATTACAAAGAAAGCTGCGACAGAACAGCAGCCTATATACAGTACATATCAACAAATGCTGAAAAAAAAAACCTGTCATTAGCTTTTCCCCTCCCACATAATTATAACTGTCATAAAAGTTCAACATGTGTCTGGGGTGGGTCTGTATGTGTGTGTAAGAGCTTTTTACTCTTCAGATACTTCAAATGTCACTTGTAATTTATGGTATTGACAACTACTATAATATAGCTTTTGAAAGAATTGTGGTTATGTTATTAACTCCTGTTTTTGGCTGGAAGATGAACAAACAATAAAATAAAGCAAAACAAAACAAAACAAAACAAAACAAAAAAACATACAAACCCCCCAGAAAAACTAAAAACAAAACCAAACACAAAAAAATAAAATAAATTTAATAAATAATAAACAATTTCTAAGAGCCCTTAGACTTAGTATTTAATTAAATTAAGTTTTGACCAAAATGTTTATTTACAATAATATAAATGATTTATTTACATATATATTTATTTATATACTACATTGAGGTGCGTAGCCTCAAACCAAGTAGCAACAAGTAAACAAACCAGAGAAAAACAAACAAAATACAACAAAAACATTAATTTGGGCTGGAATATCACTCCCAGTCTGTCTGAACAAGCTATTTATAATACACTCACCCGACACCTGACACCAGCAACAAATTGCCAGGCGTGACAAGAAGAAAGTCAACCTTCCGTCTTAGATATCTTCACTTATTTATAGGATGTTTGTTAATGAGAATGAGACTATGAGAGTGAGAGTGAAGGAAGAACCATAAGATTAAAACAAATAAACAAGAGAGAGATAGAGAGGGGCTTGACATAAGTTTGACAGGGCTGTCTAAGCAGAATGACTGTTTATACTATTTAAAACCAAAGTAACAAGCTAGCATTCCCACAATGCATTTACCTAGCTACTATGCTAGGCCACAAAATTTTGTCTGACACACAGGGCCTTCAGAGTGTGACGCAAGCAGTTTTCATTGGCCAGACTGCAAAAGCCACATGGTGCCCTTGCCAAATGCCAGTCAGCTGCTTTTTTTGGCTGACGATGATCACAGCCGCGGAGATTCGGAGACACGACTGAATCCACATCGTGAGATTAACTCCTGTGCGCTCTAGGTTTATTTTTACAAGTATAAATAAATGAAATACCACTCTAATTCAATTTCATTTTTTGGGGTTATTGTTTTTTTTTTTTTTTTACTGTTTCTTATTATTTTGACAAAAAAAAAAAAAAAATCTGCATATCAACAACTGACAGGTGTTTGAGTTGTTAAAAGTGAAAGACAAACTATATATTAGGCCTGGGCGATAAAACGGTATCGATATTTATCGACGGTACACCTTCTTCGATAACGATATAAAAAATGTTCGATATAGTGCACGATATAGGCACGTGCTATGAGTGACACAGACAGCACACACAAACACGAACATGAGGGCTGTGCCTGCCTGTGATGAGGAGATTGTGAGTAAAGAATGAATATTAGTCGAATTTAAAATAAACATTTGCATTTGAATGCAAAAATAGTACAATCCAATGTTAGGAGTGCATCAGGGAGAGTCATCAGTGGAGCACGAGATGCGGTGATGATGTAAGTGCCGTTGTAGTTTAATGTTTTGTTAGTCTAGCCCACGAGACGCGCAGTTGCTGCGTTACTCATTCAAAATATTAGAGAACTATAGAAGCTCAATGCGGAGAAGATCTTGATTAGGTTAAAACCGAAACCAAGCCATTCACACAGAACGCATATTCAGCGCATTTTCTAGACGGACAAATATGACTGCTGCACTCGCATCTCACACAAGAGATGTATAGATTTGTTGTTTGTCTCAATAAATTGAGTTAATTAAAAAATACAGTGGTTAAATGTAAACATTTTTTTCTATTGCTCTTTGTTTTTAAAAAGGTTATAAAAAATTTCAATAATTATCGATACCGAACAATATGAAACATTATGTCGCTGATACATTTTTTTGCTATATCGCCCAGCCCTACTATATATACAAACATTCTTGCCAACAAAAATGACCTTAGGCTCTACTTACATTACCAACATTCTAAACTTGTTAACACACACCCCATGTCCAATTCCTGATGCTGTTGTTGGTGACAACTTGAGAAGGAGGTGAAGGTTAATCACAAGAAATCAGTCAGTACAACCGACTTTGCTTCCCTGGTGGAATCCCAGGGTGTAGGAAGGGCATTTATGGCCAGGTCATATGACTAACTTGCATGAGAAGCAGTTACGGTGACCCTTTGATCTGAGCGACATGCATAAAGTTTAGGAATCTGACTGCTACGTCCAAAGGCTGTTTAAGGGTAACAAGCCCACCCTTTGTTGATGATGCATACATAGGCCTCTAGAAATATGTTCATGATGGAAGAGATCTTCATATTAGAAGCCAGAAACATTCATTGGTTGTAAATATCTTTTATTTTTACTGCTAACATGCACAAGTCAGCCACGGCCCACTTTTAGACTATGGCGGCCCAATATGGATAGCAGGTGCTGGACCAGGAAAAGTGCCAAAGGCGAGAGCATAAACAAATGAAACAAAGACCACCCTGGTGACTGTGTCAACTGTGTCCATAAGACATGGAGATTCAGATTCGATGATACCGGTCTTTGTGTGATCCTGCATCTTTGTGTTTATCAGGTCACTTTGTCTTATAAACAAACACAGGATTTTGGTTTTCAGGATTCATGGTTGATTTATTAAATCCTTCAAATCATTAACGCCGCATGCAGGCCTGGAGATATTTTAAAGCTGATGTGTGTTAATCCTTGGTAGATTCTCTAAGCAGAAGATCTAAAATACCCAGAATCCAATTTATCTTCCCCAGAATCTTTTGGCTCATCTGAATATAGGATCCATCTTTTCAGGAAGCATTTTTGGCACCTGAAGCAGGCTCACAGGGGTTCTCGAAGTACTGTTGATACTTTGGTTGTTCATTGGTCTATTTCAGGATCTCGCAAGTCAATGTGCCAAAGGAGGAGTGCTTGGCCTTTTCGCCCTGTGCTTAAAACAACACTCGGTACGCTGCCTCGTCTGAGAGAACTGTGGGGGTGAGAGACCACCGTGAGTCTTTTAGCTACTTGCGTTTAGCTCAAATTTAGCAGAACAAGTTTAGACCAAGACTCGGTGCAAAAGCAAACTTCAAAGTGCATTCAAAGTTACGTTTCATGACAGGTCTTTGCTTCTTTGGAAACCCAAAACCACCATTCCTCTGTTTATAATTAAGGAGAGCAAATTAGCCTGCGTCATGTGTTGAACAGAGAGCATTTCCTTCACATTAGCTTCTACAACAACCATGAAAGTAGGAAGTCTCTACACCTGCTAACTAAAAAAGGTCCTGACCTTCTTCAAGTCACCATTATTAAAAACAAAGTTAAAAAGAGTGAAAAAAACTGATATAAGAGTCTAGCTTTTGTTTGTTTTTGTAGCTGTTATATAGTTAAAACGTAAACTTACCAATAAAATTGAACTTGAAATAAATCTAAATTTTGTTTGTAGTTGTCATGTTGCTCAAATTTAGAAATTTACCAATAAAACTAAACTAGAAAATGAATCTAGCTTTTTTCTTTTTTTTAGTTGTCATGCAGTGAAAATTTAGAAACTAACCAATAAAACTAATCTCGAAAATGAACCTAGCTTTGTTTTTGTAGCTGTCATGTAGCTAAAACTTAGAAACTTACCGATAAAAATGAACTACAAAAATCAATCCAGCTTTTGATTTTGTAGCTGTCATGTAGCTAAAACTCAAACTTTGCAATACAGATTAACTTTAAAATGAATCTAGATTGTGTTTGTTTTTAAGATAAGTCGTGTAGCCAAAACTTAGAAACATTCCAAAAAGAAACTGCTACAAAATGAGGCTAGCTAAGAAGTAGTGCTACAAACCAGAGCAAACCACTGTCGCTAGTTTGCTCTGAAAGAACTACAACAGATGCTGCAATTAGAATTTTTAGAATGCATGAGGAGTGAAATTCAAATGTGTCGAGTCTTGTTAGGGGTACGATATCCACTTTGCAATATACACTTTTTCTTTCCATTTGACCAAATTTTCGAGCTTAAAATATACATTAAAATATCAAATGAAACAACATTTGTGAAGAGGACATTTGTGACTTCTGTGAGTTCATCAAGACATCCCGAGAATAAACGGTACAATGCCTCATCAAGCCAGCCACCTGCAACTGCTAAACATGGAAAAACCACAAGCGCAGCTTTAACCACACACATGCTAATACACACGAACACAGCAAATGCACCAAGCCACAGCTGTGTGCTTCAAACACGGCCAATCATTGCAGCATGTGTGACGTGCTTCATAGCTCATGACAAAGGATGTATAAGAGGAACTGTACCGTTATACCTCAACTGCTAGCATTGATCTTAATAAATATCATGTTATACTATCTTTTCCAGTAGAAAAAATTAAGATGGCCCTCTTCATGGGGTCTGCAGGCAGGGTAAAAAATTTACACTCACCAGTCGCCAAATGAGAGTAAATATTGGCTTGTAAATAAAAATCATCACTTGGCTGGAAACGTTATTACGAACTACTACTACTATTTGTGTTTTAAATTTAATTGTAAGAATGATAAGAATATTAAGTCCAATTTATGTCAGTTCAAATTAATTTTACTACATTCAAACCACTGACATAAAAGAAAAAAACGGCTAAATAATTTAATTGTCTGTGGGGGGAAAAAAAGCTAAATATTGCAAAAATGTTTATGGTGGTCAGTAAATATTTATAGCTGGAGAATTCTTAATTGGCAGGTGTGCCAGAAAGTACATTTTAGACCCTGTGTGTCTGTTTAATTGTATCTGAATAAGATCATCAGTCAACAAAGTCACATCCATGGCAGGCTGTTGACATTGCCATGGATGCACAACAACCAGAGTAATCTACATGGCCTGATTTGTTCAAGTAGTGTGGTTTGTTTTAGTGAACTGTTCCGGTCCTCACTGTTGATTTGAAAGTACTGTGGTGTCTTCGGTTAGGCATCCTGCTGACATGTGGGCTTCTTATGTCTTAAGCAAATCTAATTAAAAGGTCAGCACCAAACAAAAGAAAAACATAATTACCCAGCACCCTTCCCCCTGACCGAAGACATGCTGATGCAGCCTAACATGAAGAATGTGAGCAGGCCTTGGAGCAACAAGATCTCATTAGAAGTCTCCATCAACTAGGGATCGGTCAGGATGGTCAACTAGTCGTCCAAAAACCAAGGCTGACTACTTCATATACATCTTTTTTGGAGTAATTTAGAGACACAACCTCTCAAAGATGGTATAACCTGCTAACTGAATGAAACAAACAAACAAACATCAAAAATGACACAATACTTACATATAACGGAGCTTGCTGTGGATTCAGTTTCATGGCACTGGCCACTGTGGAAAAGAAAGAAAGTGAGAGATTTAGAAACATGACATTTCTGAAAATGCAGGATGTTCAATTAGCGCTCACTTTTATTTTTTTATTTCACTGTTCATGTACAAGTACAAACTAGCCTCTGAGCATCAGGCCACACGATGCAGATGAGCTGGGGCTTTTAACAAACAAAACTGTGACCCTAATAACTATTAGGAGTACATTAGCTTGCCTCCATTCACAATGGTCACCCCTTCCGGGTCCTTCCATTAAAAACCTTCAGTAAAAATTTAACCCCAGCTAATAAATAACAGGAAATCCATTATTTGCATCTGTTTTCAGGACTCAACAATAGAGATAGCCTCAGGTGTTCACTGATCATGTATATGTGTCTTTAATGCCTAGCAAAACTAAAACAATCAGATTTTTGTGGTATGCTGCACAATGTTGTGGAATTGTGAGGATTTAAATGTCACAAAGGTTTTGTTATTAAGCTGAATAACAGATGAGAATTTACTGCAATTGCAAGAGAGACCAGTGACTAGAAGTATCAGTTAGAATGGATTGAAAAAGTTGATCAGCACAGGATGTCATCATTTTCTATAAGAAAAATCAGAGTGAGGAGTTTCTTTCTCACTCCATCCATTTTTCCTTCACACAAACTTGCTCTAGTAGAAATAGAGGCTCTGATGCCAGAGAACATGCCACTCGGTGGAATCTTGCGGCTGGCCGCAAAGCACATTGCCCACCTGCAAGCTGCAAGAGGGTGTAACGCTTCACTCATGAGAGGCAAAACCACAGCCCTTAACCCACAACACACGGCAACCCCAACCACTATCACACAGAGATTCAGACAACACCCAAATCTCAGCTGATTCAAGAAAAAACATATTAGGCAACACAGTAAGACACAAATCAACTCTTTTAATGTGATTGCTAGGAGCAGCCCCTAATAGAGGGCTGGGAAACAAGTGACATTGGAGTGTTAACACCGCCTTCGCCTTCTGTTCACTAAGGATGATAAACCGCCCCCAGCTATTGTTCCGTTATCTGCCCCGGGTGAGGTATTAGCCTTTAGGAGGTCCTTGTGGTTATCGGAGGCCCCACACACAACACATACACACACTACCTAACATGCTCATGACTAAAATTCTGTTCCTTCTAACCTTCTAAAGTTGAACTGCAATTGATTTCAATGGAGTTTGATGTTAATATGCTGCTAAAGTAATAATAAAATAACATATCTTAGCACAATTAAAGTTGCCTATCTTGCGGAACAGCCTTCATGTCGTGAATGTGGCTATGATGCCTTAAAATACTGTCTCCATAAGCTCACTAGGTTTTAGAACATGCGCAGAATAACACACTACCTAACATGCTCATGACTAAAATTCTGTTCCTTCTAACCTTCTAAAGTTGAACTGCAACTGATTTCAATGGAGTTTGATGTTAATATGCTGCTAAAGTAATAATAAAATAACATATCTTAGCACAATTAAAGTTGCCTATCTTGCGGAACAGCCTTCATGTCGTGAATGTGGCTATGATGCCTTAAAATACTGTCTCCATAAGCTCACTAGGTTTTAGAACATGCGCAGAATTTCAGTTCTCCTTAAAAAGCAGAAACCTGCCTCAAACCCACTAACAGAATAAGAGTACTGTTTTTGAGGAAGCTTTAAAGATTACAACATAACAGCATCTTCATGTATTTTTAATTGATGAGCCAAATCTCAGAATGGACTGCAATAATCTTAGCAAAACTGTACAACCAACATAGCGGACAAGCTGAATTAGCGCATCTTATTCAGCACTGAGAAGTACCAAAAACAGTTTCACCAAACTAAAACTGTATTGCTCAAAACTTGTTTTACTATAGTTAATATTACCTATGTATTAGCTTCGTAACATGCTAACTTCAGAATTGAAGATTGATATTCCACCTAATATTTGTGTATTCTCTGTTTTTGTGCTTGGACAAGAGCCATTAGCTTAGCAACATGCTAACACCTGGTATCAACTGAGTATTAGTAAAGCATCTTCTGCGTTTTACGAGAAGTGCTACACACAAGTGAGTGTTAACTCAGTCAGTATGCAGACAGTAGACAGTGAGGTGGTTTTGGAACAGAGCTTAGGTGATATAAATTGGACAACTGACTAATCTCTTCTATTCTGTTAATATGATGCCAGGCTACTTTACTTGAACCCCTCTATGCCTCCTGTGCCGGCGGAATTCCCAGAATACCTTTCCCCTCCCTAGCCTGCAGGAAGAGATCAGACATCCCACCTGCTGCTTTTTCCACTCATGCTGATTCACCAAGTACCCCTGCCCCAATTCCAACACCAACCATTTAGCCAGCTGATCCACTTCTCAACTAATCAGCTAGATCTACGGTGGAGAGAGAGAGGTGATGACCCATCCTAAGCCAGACGGCACTGTGGATGTTGAGAAGCTAAGGGTCAACCAGACAGATCAGAGAACATGGCGTTCATGGAGGAAGCATGCTGTTACAAAGATTGATGTGAAGTGGTCGGGCATGCATAAAACCTGAACTTAGCTTTGATATGAGGCCTCCTGGATGGACCTATTGAGCCAGCACACTGCAGAGTCAGCAAGCCAGTGGTTACCATCAACAGATTCATGTCTAGAGGCTAGAGAGAGGGCTGTAGTTTGTGTGCCTTGGCCTGCGTTCTTGCACCGCTGAAACTCAAGCACCACATTTGGGCTTTTTGAGAACTCATAAACCCCGACAAAAGCCCCATTATCCTACACATGCGAGACAGGCGGTAACGGACAGGAAGTAGGATTCTAAAACAAGGACAACATATTGACAGCAAGTCAGGGGTGGGCGGCAGGGTGGGGACAGGGCTGGACATTATGAGAGGGGTCACAGCCTCTTACTTCAGGCGATTTCTCTTGTTCTTTTAGCTGAATAAAAGGGCTACTGTTGAAGCTCAACAGGATGGGGTACAGGGATAATCAGCTGGTTCTAATTATAACCACTGATTTCATCCTCTCAAGCTAAGCCCTATAACTATATCTAGCACAATACATGCACACACGACTAAACACTACACTTACAAAATAAATATGTAAAAAGATTATCTCAGATGTTCATTTACATGATCTCAGATGTTCATTTACCTTACACCACAACTATCATAAAGATATACAAAGTAGGGAGAAATTGGCAAATAGATACCAAACATACCAAACACGAACATGACACCAGCTCAGTGCATCCGAGGCAAAGTTGAAGTCTTGATCTTGTGGTCTTGAGTCCTCTTAAGACCACATAAACTTGGCATTGGTATGGGCCTAGTTCTTGGCTTAGGGCAGGGGTGTCCAAACCTGTTCCTGGAGGGCCACTGTCCTGCAAAGTTTAGCTCCAACTTAATTAAATACACCTGAACCATCTAAACAAAGTCTTCAGACTCTTCAGACAGAAAGTTGGAGCTGGTTGGAGCTAAAATCTGCAGGACATTGGGCCTCCAGGAGCAGGATTAGACATCCCTGGCTTAGGGTCTCAATGAGACTGCAGTCAATTGACACTCAGCCACTGTGCAAAGTTCCACTGTGTCTCAAATAAATTCTGTAATAAATAAAGTATTTTCTCTATTGAAATTCATTAAAATGGAAGACTGGTTACTGAATTCACAGCTCTGGGTCTGGATCCTGGGGTTTAGATCTGTGTCAAATAGCAGTTAAAGACCCTGGAGAAACCCTTTAGGTTACAAAAACCCTAAAGGCTGATTTATACTTCTGCGTCGAAACTACACCGTAGCTACATCGTAGGTTGTGCATAGCACATGTAGCCTGATGTGCACCTCTCCAGAAATGTAACAACACGTCAATTCTACGCGGACCGCAAGCGCTGTGATTGGTCTGCTAGAACCCTTCCCTCCGTATGTATTTGAGTTTTGTGTGTATTTTTTGCACTTTAATGTTACACCTTCTTATTTCAAATAAACAAAGCAAATAACAAGTGTCTTATTTACTATACAACATAGCATTATACATCACTTAGTTGTCCGTGACAAACAATGTTGTTCTGCCATGGCACAAGTCCTTGTGGAGACTGAAAGAGTGCCATCTTCTCCTGTTCCGTTGTCATCTCCTTTTTTGTAGTTTTAAATAAATTATCTGTTCTTGGATATTTATTTGCCGCCATCACAGCTGATGCTTCTCTGACAAGCTGCTGCTTATTCGGCTTTTGCCTTGATACTTTTGGTTACACCAGAAACATGCCCGTGGACACTGCATACATGTGTAATTGCACGTTGACGCAGAAGTATAAATGAAAACCGACGCGTAGCCTATGGCATAGAGGCTACGGTGTAGGTCCGATGCAGAAGTATAAATCAGCCTTTACAAATATTAATAAGTGTCTTAACTTGCTGCTTAGAGGGTTTGTTACTCTCAGCCTGGGTCTTGCAGGGCCTGGTCTTGATTCCCACTCTAGTCCAAAGCTTGAATCAACAATTAGGTTATGGCCCAAACCAGAACCAGTTTGATTGTTAGGAGGAATTATGCTTGAGGAATTATGTGTACATCTGAAGGAGGACACCATTTACCCTTCAGGTTATTGGGTTTCATAAGCACCTTTGATCTTACTAACTTCAAGATCAAAGGTGCATATGAAACCCAATAACTTGAAGGTAAATGATGCAAGGTCCAGACCCAGTGGTGTGAGTCCAAGACTGCGGTCTTGTCAAGACCCAAGCCAAGACCCAGTCCCATTGATCAAGACCTCTCCTACACACAATGGCTCCTAAACATCTCTGCGGTACCAGACTGGAGGTAGACATGGGCGACTCTTCTTGTTCATATATCACAATGCAAAAAACAAACATATCTAGTTACACAAGCTATATGTTTGTAAACATCATAATTATATATTGTAGTTTGGGATTAAAATGAGAAGAGGAGAAGAGGAACTGCACGGAAACACTGCTCAGTAAAAGCTAGCTCAAATACAGTTTAGAGTAGAAAATGTTGGTGCACAAATTATGTACATTTGAG